GATGGATGCTCATTCCTTCTTCGTCTGTCTCTCTCTCTCTCTCTCTCTCTCCCGCGCTCTCCCTGGGCCGTCTGCCAGGAAACGGGCCCGTCGCCATCACTTCGCACCACGACTCGGCCACAGTCAATGTGAGTCGTCGTCGTCGTTGGCTGCGGCTGCTGCTGCTCATCGGCACGCTCGATGGCATCGCATCGCACCACACCACATCGCCTCGCCACTCCTCGCCTCGCCTCGCATCGCCTCGCATCGCAATGCAACGCCGTCGACCGGCCCAGCCTAGCTTCGGTAGCGCGTTTTTTCTAAACCGACTCTTCGCCCTCTCGTTTTGCCGGCACGCGTAAACAGATCTACCTCAGCCTCGACGAGAAGCCGACGGGCCCCGAATCGTTCCTCAAGACGTCGGCAGGAGGGGCCAGCATCCCTCCGCTGCGAAAGGATCTGGCCATCAGCGGACAGGGTGAGCTCCCGCTTACGGCGCAGCGCTGGTGGACGCCGTCGGCCTCGGGTCGTCGTCGGCGGCCTTGGTCGCGACACCTGTGCTGTGGAAGCTGACACCATCTCGCGCCCATCTCGACTCGACTCGACTCGTCACCCCTCTGGCCGAGACCTGGCAGGTGAATTCTGCTTCCACGCCAACGCCAGCGCCCTCGACGTGCCCGGCTCGACGATCGCCGACGGCACCAATGCCACCATCATGGTCGAGTTCATTTCGGTCCACGGCCATCTCTACCAGGTACGTCTCCGACGGGCGAGGGGCAAGGCGCGCCCCGCTCATGTTCCGCCACGTCGCCATGACACGACGAGGCGCTGATCCAGTCGCCGCGCCACCTGCGCCGCACTTGGCCCCCTGGCCATTGCTCCCTTCCTCTTTTTTCCGACACCGCGAGGCAGTGCTCGGACGTCAGGTTCACGTCGGATGCAAGCGTCGGCGCCAACCTGACCTGCACCGACTCGCTCAAGGCCAACGCCGCCGCCGCCGCCGGCAGCACGTCGTCGACGCCCGCATCGACGTCCAGCGGCGGCCCGGCGGCACCTTCCGCCACCGCGCCGACCAGGAGCGGCGGCAGCGAGAATGCCGCATCCAGCATCTCCCCCTCCCTCTTTGCCTCTCTGGTGGCTGCTGCTGCGGCGGCGGCGGTCGCCTCGGCCCTCGGCCCAGGCATCTCATGCCTGCTCTGAGGTGGGCGCCGAGCAGCGCCCCTGCTGGTCGATTCGCAAGGGGGCCGTCACACCACGCGCCCGTCGCACGCCGCACGATCGCATCAAGTCACAGGCACGTCAAGGCACAGGCACGTCAAGGCACACAGGCACGTCAAGGCACAGGCACAGGCACGAGCCCGGGCAAGATTGGCCAACGTTCGTCACGGTCATCCACGACGCCCGAGCACCGTCACCTCGGGCAAACGGTTGCCAGGGCAGTCTGGTGGCGAGAACGGCCGCTCGGCTTGGGCGAGCCGGCTGGCCCGGGCTGGCTGGCTGCGTCAGATGGCAAGAGCCGGCCTGGGCTGGCATGGGATTGGCGTGGTCGGCAGCGGGCTGGCCTGATTGACAAAGGGGCCGGTCCGACTGACGGAGGGGCCAGCCTGACTGACAAAGGGGCTGGCCTGGCTGACAAAAGGGGCAGCCTGACTGGCAATGGGGCTGGCCTCAGGGGCCAGGCATGGCCTGGACTGGCCTGGCCCAGCCTGGGCCCAACCATGCTGGCCTAGGCAGGGCCTAGCCTGGGCTGGGCTTGCCTGGGCTATGCTGGGCCGGTCTGGGCCATTGTCGGCGCTCGGGGCCGCCATGGCTAAGTGATGGGCGGCCCCGAGCATAGTGCCCGAGGGGGGAGGGCCATGTGCGCGTGTAGATGGGCCGAATGAAACAACGTGTT